TGGGAGGGAGAGCAGAGCAAGGCTGCTTCTCTCCCTGCACATCCTGGTTGCAGCCCCAACCCACGCTGGACCCAGGTGTGCTGCTATGGCCTGACACCATGCACAAGGGGCTGAGACTCCAACAGACACCACCATAATGGATCTGCTCCTTCGGCACAAAAGAGAGGAGGCAGCTGCCCACCTGTGCTGGGAGAACTGTCCAAGCCAAAAAAATCCACTGTCTGCTAATGAAGGTGGCTGGATGGCAGTTCTAGTAAATTGCCATCACCCCAAAGAGGGCCAGGGGGCTATACAAGGCACACCCAGTGGGCCAAAGGATATCCCACTCCAGTGCGAGCTGACACACTGCCCTGGCACGGTGCATCCCTCCCTCCCACCTCTCGCCCACACAGGCACGAGGCCCTGCAGAGCAGGACCGCTCCCACGTGTGCCAGCAGGCCCGCGGGCACCTCCGCCGAGCTGATAAGGAATAATAGCGGGTGGCAGTGGAAGCCAGGGCTGCTGGCGGCGTCATGGGGCTCGGCGGCAGCTCTCCTTCGGAAACAGCACTGCCTTCCTGCCTTCCTCCTCCCCCATTTCTTCCTGATGACATCAGCCTGAAAAACAGGTTCTTGACTTCAGCAGGACTCATCAGGCCGATTCTGGTCCCGCCAGAGAAGGGAGAGCCCCCCTTGACTCCAGAAAGGAAACAGCCATCCAGGAGCCGGACACAGAGATAAGCAGCAGCGGGCAGGCAGGGACCCTGCCAGCATGCCAACACTTCTAGGAATAAAAACCATGGAGAAGCAGATGGGGGTGGAGGCAGTGCGACACTGGGGAACAGATTTAAATGTTTTACAAAGGCCTTGGCAGCTCTAAGCTCGGGCTCACGCCCCATCTCTGACATCGCTCTGCTACAGGGCAGACAGACCCACCCAGCCCAGAAGTCAAATCCCAGGGCCGATTCCCGGTTCCCTCCAGCTCCCAGAGCCCGACGGCAAGCCCTCAGGCTGGCCAAAATGACAAGACGGGACTTAACACTATCCAGTAAAGCCTTCCAAGGGCCACAGGTCTGGACGTGGACCAGCGGGGAACACGATTCTGCGAAACATCCTGCCCACCAGCCAAGGCTCCAAGATTATTTTTAAACTCCTCCTAAAATATTTTTGGGTTTTCCTCTTCCCCTGTTGAAACTAACAGTCTGCACAGGAAGAGTGAAGCAGCCGCCCGTACACAAAGCCCGGCCGCATGCACAAAGCAAACAATTTACTGCCATTATAATTACCTGCGATGTTATCGGCAGCTCTGACGGGGTCGGCATTCGCAGGAGGAAATGTGGTTTCCACATCGTGTCATCCGAAACGTGTGTGACCATCCTTCCTCCCGCCCTGCCCAAAGGATCGGCTGCCAGAAGCACCCAGTTGTGCCAACACAATGTTAAAGTGGGGGAACAGACCTTGGACGTGGGGCTACATCACGCAGGAAATTTTGTCCCTTAACACAGGAATCTGCCTCTCCTCTTGCCAGGAACTTACTTCTGCAAGAGAGACTGAGTATTTTGACATGCAAGCAGTTGTTTAACTAAGCACGTAAAGCAAAGGGACTCGAAGGGCTCCTATGATGACACAAAGACTTGCCTGGATGGGTGTAGATCCTGAGAATATCGGGCCCCAGACACAACTGATGCTACCCTAGCAGGGCTTGGAGCATCCCGGCTTCCCAAAAATTATGGGAAACCAGCTCTGCTCCTAACCCCTCACATGCCGGACTGTAGCTCTGCTCCACCAAACTCCCAAGAAAATACAAATAGCTCAACATTTATCAGTTCAAAACACCCGTGCAATTAGCAGGAATTTTTTTTCCTCCCTCCAGTATAATTATATATGTTTTAATGCAATTACCACCCCTGTATTTTGTACATTAAACAGTAGGCAACCCAAGGAAGAGAGAGGCTTTTATTTTTCTTGGCTTTGCCTTTCTGAAAATAATAGTATGTCACAAAATAACTCCGGAAGAAGGGCTTATCTTTACCCAAAAAAGAGGGAGAGCAGAAGAAAAGTGGGAAGGGGGAAGGAGAAATCTCCCAAAGGGAAAGTGGGGATTGCAGTGCCCCTCCACGCTGCCCTCACCCTCTGGTCCCTACACGTACCTACACCTGGAAACTGTCACGGATACCACAGACAGGACTCGGAAACAGCCTCAGCCTCTGTCCTCCACCGCGACAGAAAGGAAAACTGGATCGAGCAAATGGTCGTGGTTACTCAAGCCGGGGTCATTAGCCGGATTAAAGCTCCCAAGCTCCGGCCAGCAGCACGGAGAGCAAAGTGCAGCTAAACTGCCCAAATTGGATTACCAACGCTCCCGGGTCTCTGTGCCAAGTTGAACAGCAGATTGCGGGACGTTCGAGATGGGCAGGCGGGCACTGAGCCCCGGGACCGATCCACAGGCTGCCAGTAAGGAAGAGGAGAGGTGAGGAGGAGATGGTCCCTGCAGAGCAGGTCACCCAGACCCACACAGCCTGACTCTGGCACCCCTGGCATATTGTCACCCTGGGCACTTTCTCCAGCAAAATCCCTCACAATCTCAGCTCAAGGAACAAAGAGGATATCGCACCCTGGTTCACACCAGGCTGTGAGTTGACCCCAGCAATAAAAAAATCTCCTCTGTGGTTCAGGCAGCTCACAAGGGTCTCAGTCCCCACACAGAGACCAGCACAGAATAGCCCACAGGGCAGAGGTAGATTTGCCTCCCATTACACCAAGACATCCCACATCGAGGCAATAGAGGAGTCACCCAAAATAGTCCATCTTGCACCACACAAGGTGACTTCAGAGGAGAAAGGAGAAAAAGTGTTTGTGGAATGTGAGCCTGACAATCTGGATATGGAGCTTGTCTCCAGACTCAAACCTCTCGGCACACCAGCAACAAAAAAGAAGGTGTGCCAAGCCTTAGCTAAAGGGAAAATAAACTTTGAAATGTTTTTCATTCAGGTTTTTAAATGGTGGCTTCCCCCTGGAATAAGGGCTGGAGGCAGCCGCAAATGTGGGATGCTCAGGGAAGCAAGGCAAACAAGGACACCTTCCCATGCCCAGCCACACTCTGACGAACCCGTGGGAAGACATGTATTTTGGCTACACCACATGCCGAGTGCAGGGGAAAAGAGCCAGGACTGCCCATGCCTGGCACTGAAACCATCAAAACTTATTTATTGGCTGGAGTTTTTTTCCTCCATGATGCTCAAACTTGACTTCCAAGCATAGCTGGAGGACCATGTTGGGGTATCTACACAGTTTCCATGTTGCATCCTGGACAGGACTAAGAGGGGCATGACTGAGGCAGTGGGTCAGAGATGGTGTCAGAACACACATTCCCACCAAGTACCATATATTTGTAGTGAGATGTTCCCCATAGCACTGACTGGGGCTCCAGACAGAGAAGTAGCTGCTTGTCTCCAGCCTAACACCAAACCAGCCACCTCAGCACTGGATGGTGGTAAACACTCCTCCTCAGTTTGCATGGAGCTACAGCACTCTGCATATTGCTGGGAAAAGGGGCCCCCCATCCATACTTAGGAGAGGTAAGGGGTCGTGGTCCATGCTGAACCAAGCCCCACATCAGCCATGATTCCCTGCCCTTGGGCCTTCCTCCACACACATGGCACACCACCGAGCCATTCATCAGTCAAACACTGGCCAGAAGTCCCCTGCCCACTGTTTTCTGCCATATAGCACACAACTGCTTGAGGACACAATCTGTAAGAGACATTTATGGATCACAGCACCAAACCAATGTCCCAACACATACATCCCATCAGCCCAGTCGATGCAAAATCCAAGCTTGCAGGTAGTGAGAATGGCATATGAGAATCGGGGTGACCCATGCCCACCGTCCTGTCGTTGCAAATATGGATGGTAGCACCTCTGCTATCCTGGTTCTTCCAAGGTCCCCCTTCCTTCTATGGAGCTGGAGGTGCCAAAAACCATGACTGACTCCTCACTGCAAACACAAACAACAAAGCACTGAAACACCCTACACAGAAAGGCGGTCTCACAACAAAGCCCCATGGGACTCAGCAGACGCCCGATGCTGCAGGCAAGGCTCCCCCCAGTTTGCAGGCAGCCGGCAGTGCCAGCACGGCAGCACCAGGCATTCCTGCTTGGAAATTCCCAGCTCAGGGCTGAGTCCGGCTCTCGGCAGCAGTCAGTGCTACAGCCAGGAGCAAGGCTGACAGCAACAAAGGCCCTGACCCACACTCAGCCTAGAGAATAAAACACGGACAAGTTCCCTTGATTGAGTCCTGATCCCAGGGTCGGATTCTTCCCTTTGTTCAGCAGGTGTAAAACGCAGCAAACCCACCAAAATAAATGGGCTGGTGTGACACACCGGGGAGCAGGGTAGGGGCCAGCCCCGGCTGCTGCCGCCATGGAGGAGGGGAGGCAGCCCTGCCAGAACGCAGCAGCGCCGCTTTATTACCCTCTTCCATTTCGGCTGCGCAGAGCTCGGGCGAAACAGCGCTCGCCGGGAGCCGCCGACATGGCCCTTGGCCCCGTCTCCAATGGAGTTCAGAGGAGTTTGTTTCTCTCTCGCAGGGCACTGCCTCGCTCGGGGAGAGGGCTTTGTGTGACGGAGCACAAGAGCTCTGCTCCGCAGCTCCGTACACAGCCTGAACACGCACGAAGGCGGATGCCTCTGCTCTGCTCCAAATCCGATGCTTCTATTAAAAAAAAGAAATAAATAAGCCAAGAGAGGAAAACTCTCACCGATGCCGCTATCACCGTGCTAACAAAAGCAACGTTGCCAAAACTTTAATCTTCAGTGGTAGCAGCTGCAGAAAGCCCAGCCACCCAATAGAGCAGGAGCCAGCCAGCCCCCGGCGCTGCCTCTCCGCAGCCCCTCGGGAGCTGCGAGCGCATCCAGGCTTGCCGCTCTCGGAGGAACGGCATCGGCAGCCAAAGCCGCGGGCGGATAGGAAGCACCAAATCACACACATGATCGGGTATTTTGAATCCAAACTTCCTTACCAGCCTTCCTTACGGCCCCGTGTCGCCACACCGCTGCCGGCACCGGCATCCACCGGCACCAGCAGATCGCACGGCAGCGAGCGGATAGAAGAAAAAAACCTTCTCTCCTTGCAGCCACTTAAGAAATTATCCATGCATTCTCCCAGAGGCTTCTGCCCCACTGCTTTTCCTTGGCTTCTCCACCTTTCCGCCCTGCTCGGTCACCAGTGTCTTGAGAGAGAGACATCGAGTCACTCATTTTACCCACTGAGTATATACAAAAGACCCTGGGATTGTTCAGGAAGCAATTAGCCGCTGTTCAGAGGAAAATGGTGTTTTCAAATGGATAACCTTTGATGTAGTCAATAGCCTCAGCTCCTCTTTTTTTTTTTTCCTTTTTTTTCTTCTTGCAGCCGCACACAAAAGAAATAAAAAAATGAAAAATGAAAAAAAGAAATCCAGCAAAAGGCTGGTAATTCCCCCCGACACAGCTCTCGCTCAGCAAAAAGGGATTTTCTCGCGAGCTGGAGGAAAAGCAGCTTCGGGAGGCAGCTCATCTGCCCAACTTTTCTCCCCTCCGTGTCCCGAAGCACACGAGAAGGATCATGAATATTCATCCCCCCGTTAGCAGGTTCTGCTTTTGTTTTGTCCTCCCCAAGCAGGAGGCAGGGGGGAGCTAACAAGTGAGGTTAATGCCTGTCTTTTCTCTCCCATCCGTCTCCTCTTTAACCAGTGACCTTCATGTTAAGCCCTGTTTACACACCAGCCCCCCTCCCCTGGCTCCCCCCACCCCGGCGCTCGGCCAGGGGCAGAAGGAAGAATTTTCCCGCAAGGAAGATAAGGGAGGAGAAGGGATTGCGGGATTTCGGGATTTATTTCAGCATGCCACAGAAATTTTGCAAATCCCTCCCCGATCGCACGCCGAGGCTGGCGTACGTGTTCGCTGGGCATAAATGGGAAAGGGCTAAGGGACACCGAGCGCGCAGCCGGCTTTATTCCGCCACCTTCTACGTTCATCCCGGCAGCGGAAGGCGCGCACTGGCGCGCAGCCCCGCACACAGGTACCGCAGCCTCCCACGCCTCGCTCGGAGGTGCCCAGCGCTGCGCTGCCAAACTACAGCGCGATCACAATAGTAACGATCATAACGAGGGCGACGGCGGCCATCCCACCCCATTCCATCATATCCCTTCCCAGCTCGCGGGGAACCCCCGGCATCCCCTCCGCCGGTGCCTGGGGAACGGGGAGCGCGGAGGGAACGGCGGCGCTACGGGCTCCGGGGCGAGTCCAGCCTGGATGCCGCTCACCGCGCCCCGGCGGGATGCGGAGATGTGAAGCAGCAAGAATGCGTGAATGGATGTGGGGCAGCGCGATGCGGGAACGGCAGCGGCGATGAATGTGGGGCAGCACGATGCAGAGACGGCAGTGGGGACACGGGGCTGCGCGGACATAGGGATGACAGCGGGGATGTGGGGCAGCACGATGCGGTTGCAGGGCAGGGCAGATGCGGGATCCGAGGTGGTGAGCGTGGGGAAGGCTGAGCCCCGCTCACGTCCCCAGCAGTGCCGGACCCGTGCGGGCAGCGGGGCGGCGGGGCCGGGGCAGCGAACCTCGTCGGGAGCCGGGGCGGGCGGGTGCAGCGGACAGGGAGGTGGCCGAGCCCCGCCGCTTACACCGGGTAGGGAGGGACCCCCGGGACCGCCCCGGCCCCACCAGCTCCGAACAGGAGGGCGGCCCCCTCCCGTGCAAGCCGCACCTGCCCGGTCCCCGGCGCCCCGCCGCGGGACCCACGCGGGGCGTGGGGCGGGTAAAGAAAGAGGCTCGGTCCCGGTGGGGTTTTTGTCCCCCGGCAAGAGGCGGCTCCCGGGGCCGCGGGGCGCAATGCGGGCTGGCCCCGGGCGGCAGCAACGCGGCCCTACCCGGCCCAGCCCAGCCCTGCCCGGCCCGGCCGCCGCGGCCCCTCCGCGCCCCCCGACGGGGCCGCCGTGCCCTGCCCGGGCCAGCGATGGCGAGATAAAGCCAAAATTCTTTGGGGGTGGCAATAAAAGCCAAATCCGCGTTATTTTTCCAACAAACCGACCGATCGGACGCAATCGCACGCCGCGCCCGAAAGTTACAACCGCGGTTTACTTACGGCTCCGGTCCCCGCTCGCCTCCGCCGTGCCAGCCATAATTGCATTCCACACCGAGCCGCCCGCCGGGCCGCCGCCGCCTTCTCCGCCGCCGCCGCCTCCTTCTCCTCCGTCCCCTCCTCCTCCTCCTCCTCCTCCGTGCCCGCCTCCCCTCCCCACCGCCACGGCCGCCGCCGCCGGGGCTCCGCGCCCGCCTCGCTCGCGCCGCCGCCGCCGCTGCCCCGCATGAATGGGACGGGGCGCGGGGCCCGACGGAACGCCGCCCGCCGCGCGCGCCCCCGCCGCCGCCGCGCGCGCGCACACGCCCCGCACCGGCGGCGCGAGGCAAAGGGAGCGGAGGGGAGGGGGGAGGCGGGGGCGCGCCCGCGTGCGCGCGCCGCCTCCAGGGGGCGCCCGAGGTGGGGAAGGAGCGGAGGGAGGGGGGAGAGAGGGAGGGAGGGAAGGAGGGAGGGAGAGAGGGAGGGGCAGCCCCGCCCTCCGTCCGCGTTAAAAGGGCGATGCCGCGAGGGCCCGGGGACGGGTCGGGGACGGGATAAAAGCGGTGATGGAGCGGGGAAGACCGCAAAGATCAGGGCCCGGACGCACCTGAGGGTCCTCACCGGTCGTCCCCCTGCAGCCCACGGAGGGACTGCGTTTCCCAGGGGTGTCCATTCAGCATCGTCCCACTGGCAGCGCATCCATTCTGCTGAAAATTTTAATGTATTATTTTTTATATTTTAAAATATAAAATATAAATATATATTTATTATATATACGCATTGTGATATAATACTATATTCTATAACTATATAATAAATATAGTATTTACTATTTTATGTTTTATGTTTACTTTTTAAATGTATTTATTTTAATCTATTATTTTTAATAAAAATAATTTTAAAACATTCAAAAATATTAATTTAGTGGGCTGAAGCGGTTGTTTGTCTTTTTTTAAGCACTCTCAGGGCCATGCACTTTTGGCATCTTCATTCCCTCACCTTTACGCTTTCCCCTTACTTTTCCCTCTCACCGTGCCAGCCGCTGTGTCCCTCCATGGGGACAGCTGTGCCCTCCTACAGCCCTGCCTGCCCCGAGCAAGGAGTCCTGCATGTTTGGGTAGGCCCGACCAAAATGCTTCATCCATGGGGAAGGGACTTTTGTAAAGGCCATCGGGAATAAATATATTTGGATATCCACTGATTTGGGGAGCGACCTTTGGGATGGAAATGGCAGGGAATGGTTCTATTCTGACCTGCCCATTAGGAAATGGAGCTGCAGATGGTTATGGTTTACTGGGGCCCACCGTGTGCTGCAGCACGGGGAGAAATCAGAGAAAGGTGGCTTGTTCACCCAGGTTTTCAAGGGTGCAACCAGCCAGATCTTTATCCCCACCAGCTCTCGACACTGGGATGCTTTGCCCCTTAGGCAGGGACACACCGTGGGAGTTTGGGAGTTGCCCTATCCAGGATAGAAGGTGTGTGGTTACCTTGTGCAGTCACACATGCAGATCTCCTCCCTCGGCATCCCAGCAGGTGTGCATGTCTCCATGTGGGCTGCAGCTCCTTGACCCTCTGACAGGAAGAACTATGGAGATGGGAAGCCTTCTTCAGCAGGAGCACCACAGGAGACTTTGGGAGAGGACATGGCAGGAAAAGAGGAGGCATCTGGTGAATCTCAAGTACCAGAAGAGAAGAAAATGGGCCCTTGGAGGCTCCAGCAAGGGTAGAAAGGAAAACTGAGGAAAAAAGGGTGATCTGGCTGAGTTCAACACCAGAGATGCGCTTCCCTTCTGGCCCTCAGCACCTCAATGCTCACACGTTACTCAGAGCCCACCTGAGAGCAAAGATGATGTCCCTGCAATTCAGACAAGAGGGTTTTATCCTACTAATCCCCCCATCCTGCCCTCACCAGCATCCATCTCCAGGAGGCTGGAGTTGCTGGGAACAGGCGCATTCCCCCAGGGCACGGCTTTGGTGCCTGCCATTCTCCCACCTCTTGTTTGTGCACAGACACACATGGGGCCCAGACTTAAAAGCTTTCGAGACAGAGAAGACATCGTCAAGCTCTGCCGGCAGGGAAGTGGCTGGGATTTGGATCGCTTCCCCCAGACTGAAAGAAACACTTCTCCTTTTTTTTTTTCTCTTCCTCCAAGAGACTAAATTTAGTGAATTCCTTTCACATTAAAAACTTGTCAGGTATTCACATCCAAAGAGGCTCCTGCTCCTGTCTCTCAGGGGACTTACCGAGACAGTGAAACCTCTTAAACGAATAAAGAAGGGAGAGATATTCAGGCAATCTCCCATCAGTGCTTTTAAATTTCCTCTCTCCCAGAGCTGGTGCATGGGCATCTTGGTCCCACGACTGCCACCTCCTCCACAGAGGCAGGAGAAGAGGAATGAATTCTCCCTCCCCAGAGCAAAACTGAGCGAGGCAGCAGTGCTGACCCCCAAGCCAGCGCTACCATTCCCATGTGCCCCTGGGATGGGAAACTGTGGCGATTTATTTTGAGGAAAGGTGGATTCTTGCCCACAGCATCCATCCAGTGAAAAGTGGAACCAAGGTGCTGAAAAGAACAGGCATCTGGCTGAGGGTGCATCCTGAGCCACCAATGAGGGCCCAGCCCTGACAGAAGGGAAAAAAACTGAACAGTAAGAAAATCCAAGAACTCCCATGCCGGAGCCCAGCACAGGGTTAGGAGGGACACGGCAGGGTAGATCCCGGGATTGTACTGAGTGGGAAGCAGCCTGACTCACAGTGACCAACAGAGCTCACATGGCTGGTCTGATGGCTCATCCGACACCATGCCCGGCGGGCACTGGGACACGCTTGTCACTCACATGGCTTCCCCCTGTGTCTGGGCAACTCACCCCCACAGAGAGACCCTCGTTATCTCAGGAAACTTGGCCTTTTATCCTGCCTCCCACGGGGCTTCAATTGCTCTGTTCATCCCCAACCTCTCCGTGCATCCTCACCCCCCTTCCCTGACAGACCCCGAGGGCTGACAGCCTCGCTGTGCCCTGAGGACAGCAGCTTGAGTGGCACCTCAAAGGCACTACAGAGCTCCCCGCTCGGCAGGGTGCTGGGAGGAAGGGCTGGAGGCAGGAGATGGCTCCGGTGGCAGCTGGACCCAAAGCCCAGCCATGAGGGGCGAGGGGTTCACCCAGCTCCTTCTCCTTATGCTGAACGCTGACTCAGTGCTTTCTGCCCACAACTTTGACCAAAATCACATTGAGAGACAATGTGTTCTTGGTATGTCTGGGGAGCTTTCCCTACATTACTAAAGAGACCAAGTGGCATTTTGTTCTGTAAAAGTAGCCTAAAAACTACTTTGTCAAAAAGAGAAAATAACTGAGAGAGGATTGGGTTGCTGGAGAGAGCCCAGAGAGATAGGGAGGCTCTTCTGCTC